AGGGTAGGCATGCTTATGGGAAAGTCCCAGGTCCCCTGAAACAGCAACTCCTGAAGGGCCTACCAATCACAAAGCATTCATCAAAGGAACGACACATTTTCCAAAACCTAGCCTCTAAAACTCGGGATGTCGCCTTCCAAGGAATTCCGCCAACATCCGGGCGACCTGTGGCAGATATTGTAGGATGTGGGCTGCGGCCAGGTTTCCCAGTATGGGAAGAGGGAAGAGTGAGGTTGGACTGGTTGCTTTTTCTTTTTTCAGCTGTTGGGGGCCTGGCGCACATGCACACCCTCATTTTTTATGTACGTGAGATTTTCCCGTATACAAGCTATGTTTTCTGTCAGGTGCAGCGAAAATGAAGGGCGAGTTGACAACGCGCCTGTGTTGAATGCTTGCCCTTGTCCAACTAAAATAAGACCGAGCCTCTCTATTGCACTGCTCTCCCTCCTATAAGAGGGTGAATGCTTCTGGACGGAGGCATGTCGGGGTGCATGTGAGAGCTTGCTGAACGATCTTTGGCTTGCATGCCTGTTGCGGTAGCAGATCGACGTGAACTGTATGCGGAAATTTTCGCTGTTTGTTTTGTGTGATATGGGACTGGATGTAAATTTAAATGTACGGCATGAATTCATTGGACCTCCTAGCGTCTTCCCTCGAACAGAACGCACCCTTGTTTTGGCTGTATCTGGCCGGAAATACAGCTTTTATACATTCGTTTTTAGGGTGAGTTATGTTCGGGGGAAGACGGTAGCAATGTATATGTACGAGATGCTTGCAAAAGGAGTTACTCGAATCGGGGTACGGGTCTGACTTCACTCCTGAACATTTAACAGGTATCTGGACTGCATTGCAGACCAGATACTTCGGGACTGATCACAGCTACTTTACCTTTTTTTCCCATTTGGCCCTGCATTCTATGCCATACTTGGACCCCCACATATGTGTGTCCTCCCCGCTCGGTCGACCTTTGAGCCCCCTTGTCCTCTAGGCTGCGCCTCCATGCTTCTTGTGGTATATCAGTACATGGCAACACGCACAGGCGAGAATGCACGATGCACACAAGATGCACGATGCACACAAGAATGAGCAACCAACACCAGAGAATACAGTATTACGGCACAAATTGCTGTAGCCAAGTCTGCATGAAAGGAGATCGATACAAGCTTGGAAGCGTCACACATGCGTCTGCCGACTGTTTTCAACGGATGGCACAGCCCCAAGAAACCCCCGATCTTGTCGCCTACCTTACGCAAGAGCCACGCGAGTTTACTCATCAGCACTCGAGTGCTGAAGCGAGTCGTACTGACGTTTAGCCACCAGTCTCTAATGCTGACGACTATCCACAACGTATGCAGCCTACTCCACTCCCTGTCGCTGACAAACTTTGTACGCCAGGTCCCGCCTACCCTGGGCGCCTGGACCTATGGTTCCAAATTCCAAAAGCCCTGAGGCCGAGACCATCCAGTGGTGCTACCCAACTGCTGGTACTGGGTCCAGTACCAGGTACGCACGCCCTCGGCCCAGACTTGCAGCTTCCTGTTATTCCCGGGAATTCGGAATTATTGTGCACCGGCCACCTTATAGTTGTTCCAAGAAGAAGCATCACATTTTGTTGTCTTCATTTCTTTTTGTGTTGGGCCTGGCTGGATGTTTCTAGAGTACCACTATTTGGGCCTCGCTCCACTACTCTTGAGATGTGCGAAATGAGAGTGATCTTCGGCTAGAACATGGATAGATACACTGCCATGATATGTCTTTTGTGTAAGGCCCTTTTCCTGTTTGGTTGGCGTTGGTACTGTATTCGGACGGCGGGTGTGCGATAGGGATGTTTTTTTGTTTTTTTTTTGTGGGNTGTTTTTTTGTTTTTTTTTTGTGGGGGGGGGGGGGGGGGGGGGGGGGGGAGGGGAAGGATGTTACGGGGCTGGTGTTGTTTTCTTGTTCATGTCGTTTGGCTTCTGACACAGGGGGCCACATTTTCCCCGTAGGCCCTGATTCTTGACGGTTACCCCTCCTTTCCTGTTTGGCTGGATTGTTGGGGGGGGAGGGGAATTTGTGTTGACATCTTTGGTTTGTTTTTGTCGTTCGTGTAGCTAATAGGTGGACAATGAACAGGCATGTGATGGCTGTTGTGTCACAATGATTTTGATGTTGTTGTTCGGAGGATCAGCGCCATGTTTTGGTGTGATTTTACTGTTGCGGGGCTGCTGCTGTGAAGGAAGTGTTTTTCAAATGGCTGCTCGAGCAGCCTTTTCCTTTTTTTTTTTTTTTTTTTTTTTGGGCGGGGGGAGGTAATTTGGAGCAGGCCTTTTCCCAGCAGCTGGGTAAGATCCTGTTTGCAAGTTCATTATGAACTACCACCGGTGTGAGGGTCCCTGTTTGAAAAACGTGGCGTTTTGCCACCAGGGGATCCAAGGGCCCGACGGTGATTGATATCATTGCGAGATTGGTTCCCTTCCACTGTTTTAAATATGCTGGCCTCATATCATCATTGTTATGTTGCAGTGTCTCTTAAACCACCAGTGCCTTCCCCCACTTGAAAACAATACAAATCTGCGGCTCATTTTTGGCCACAATTTTCAGTGGTAAACCCGGTTGGTGTACCGGACCCAAATGGCTGGTGGTGCCAGCCAAAATGAGGCCCAGGCCGGTTCATATTTTTGTGGCTTGCAGGGCACATTTTCAGGCCTGGCTTTGACAGCTGGGCGAGGTTCTGGTGCTCTAATTGGTATGGATGGGACCTTGACCGCCAACTGGCAACAGTAGACAAACCGAAGCGTGCCGTAAAAGCACATTCCACATATCGGCCCGCGGGTGTCATCATGAAACCCGCACCACTTCGGAGGCCGCTGATATTTTTTCCAACGGGGGCCCGGCTTGTGCTCTGAGTTTTGCTGAAGGCGACAATAACTTTCTGCAAGGCTGGGGCCGTGTACTAGCGGTTTAAACCACCAGACTCACCAGTTCCTTTGCCCGTTTTAGAGTCAAATACGTGCTGGTATATCTGGCAGCCAAGCGGGATTGGGTCGTTGTTGATAGATTTAATCGGCGACTTGTTTTCCATTGTGGGCCCTTTTTTTCTGCCTGCGGCTGATATATGGGAAAGGTACTGGTCGTTTAAGGCACTTAGTGTCTACGCATTTGGTGAGGATTTAAAAGGGCAAAAAAAAAAAAAGAGGGCATCCAAAATGTGCCTGGAGCTGTGATGCCAGCCCCCTGGCTCTTGCATGAGATGAGGCTCGAAGAGCGGCCAATTCAGGAAACATACCCCGCAGCCCTTCGGTCTGGAGGCCCTGGACAGAGCAGCATTGCTGGATTGATGATGTTCGAGCAATTCTCACAGAGTGTGGACGGTGAGAGTGAACATACTTACGTCTCCAAGATAATTAACATATATATATATACCGGCAGTTCTGTTTGTGACAATATATATATATTTACCGGGCAGTTCTGTTTGTGACGATATATACTACGACTTCGCTAGCTTCCTGATACGGTTTTTTCCGGTCAGGTCGAGCGGCAGTGGTCGGGGCCGTTACTAGGCGGCCATGCTGTGCCTCTAGTGCCAGCGGCGTGTCTGGAGTGTATTTTTTGGCTGTAACAGACCTTTCTTTGTTTCGTGGATGTTTTGCTGGCTTGTGATGGGGTGTGAACCGACAGTCTGTAGAGTTTTCCATCTGGTGTGGGTGAGTGATAGTCTACTTTGATTTTGGTTAAGG